GGTTCAAGTCACACCAAAAATTATATTATAAGAGCTCTGCCAAAGATTTCAGGCTGCTTCTGTCAGTCAGCTCAAAACTAGATTGCTTTTTTCCTCCCCTCTTCTTGATTATAATTAATATCCAAAATGGTAGCTGCCTGCCACCCTCCAAAAAATGCCCCCACAAGACCACCCAGAAAACCACCCCAGAGTGAGGAAAGATAGGAGAAGGGAAGGGAGAGAACCTACATGGCAGGAATTGAAACTGTTTTTACCAGGCATGTGAATGCCTTTGGCACTGAACTGTATCTGTCAAGAGAGCAGGGGAAAATGTCTGTTTAACCGAACCATATTGGAGATGGATGACTTTCCGTGCATTAAAAAAAGAACCATTCTCCATATCCAAATATTACAGAGCAGTTATTTCAGTCATTGAATATATGCAGCTCATAATTACCTGCTGCTTTTGAGACTCTAGAGCCTTAACACAGAAATAAGAAATGAAGTTTTAATTTTCCTCAATGTTCAGTAAAATAAAGACAGTTACCTTCTGGTTTGTGCTCACTGTAAGAATAGGGAATGAGCTAACAAATTCCATGGAAGAGAGATTATTTTGTTAATTGTTCTTTGGTTTCCAAGGAAGGAAACACATTCTAGATTAGACTTTGGATCAGTGCATTCAGTTTTTGCTGACATCGGAGGGAGCTGCATGTGTACATTCAGGAGAGGAATTTGACATTTTATCCACACATCTTCTAGTTAATTTTTGTTGGATTAAACCCAATCTTAGGTAGCTTCCCTGGCCCTTGGATTGCATTGGCACTGCAGCTGTGGGGTGTTCTGAAGGTTGCTTGCCTTTTAAGACGGGGCAGTAGTCATGTCAAATGAAATTGCAAATCTAGTTGTTGAAAAAGTAAATTTAAAAAACAATCCATCGAATTGCTTTGTTTCAGAATGCTTTTGCACCCTTGACTGATGCCAAGACTAGGAGCCATGCTGATGATGTCGGTCTCGTTCTTTCTTCATTACAGGCTAGTATATACCGAGGGGGATACAGCCGTTTTGCTCCATACTAAATGACAAAACCATAAAAACCTTCCAATGTGGGGAAAAAGGAAGCTTTCCGAGGCCTGGGTATTGCAATACATGCAGTAGTGCATCATTTTAGCAACTCTAAAAAGAGGAAAAAATTACATTTTTTATCTTATACCTCAGATATTTTGTTCTGTGTATTTTAATATTGTGGGTCTTTAATTTCTGAAGGTTCCGTAGTTTGATTGCTGGCTGTAGAAGTTTTTGTGGTTGATCTAGAAAGCTGCTAGATATGAATAAAAACTGTTTTAGGGCCACAATCAAGAGTGCTATATCATGTAAATGAATTATATATGCTGAATATTAAGCTATCGGGGTTATCACATGTTTTGTAAGAGTGTAAGTGACTACAGTAGTCATTTTTTTCTGCATCTACATTTCTTTTAGTTTCTGAGAGGGAGGGGAGGGGGGGAAATTGGGGACATGGGAATGGGGTTTGGCTAAAATATAAATTAATGAAGCAAAAAGGGGCCCCACTGCACCAACTATCATATATCACCTGTCTTAAATTATTCACTGTTTGTTCAAAGCCAAAGGTTATGTTCTTATTAGGGGTGCTTCTCTCGACACTTGTACATAAAAATCCGATTGGAAGCTGTCCGAAGGCACCCTTTTAAAGCATTCCACCAGGCAGTATTCAGCTATTTAACCATAACTAGTTATTTAGGCAAAACCTGCTAGTTAGACCATTAACAAGCATTCTTTTTATATTTCTTCCAGTAAAATAAATTATTGATATCATTGCTGACTTTTATATTATGGGAGGGAAAAAAAAAACAATAATAAAAAGGTGAAAAAAGCACTGTTTCTATTTTTTTCTTTTTTTTCCAAAAAAAAGAAAGTAATAAAAACTTAAATTCTTTGTACCAGTAAAAAAAAAAAAATAATAAAAAAAAATGTATAAAATTTACATCCGTGCAGTGGAGTTGTTAAGTTCTAGAAATACACAGCCTATGATGCTTTAGATTTAGCCTAGTAGACCAACTGTTAGAGACAGACGTATCATTTTTATGGAATTATATGATAATCATATTCAGATTTATATAAGCATTTTACAAGTATTGCAATCATTGAGTAGAGATAATCATGGTATTTTCATCCGCTTGGTACTTTTTGAAACATGACTGTGTCGTGTAAACAATCTGCAATTTTTCAAGGCATGACAACTTGCCCCAAGTTCATTTCCAAACCAAGGCCGTTTTGCTCAACGTTGGGCCCAAGATAATTTTGCAACTAGGACAAAAAGAAGGACGTTGTCCTGCCCGAGCGCTGCCCGGGGAAGGCTGCCGGGCCGGGCCGGGCCGGGTCGCAGCCGGTGCAGCCCAGCAGATACCTGGGAGGCTGTTTCAAGCATAATTGAAAAATTGCAGTTTGTCTGTGCATATGTTTGGACTCTTTCCATGTTGTCCTGTTTACAAGTTAACCTAAGTTGGGGTGTTTGTCACGGGTCTTCTTGGTTTTGTATTTAAATAAATAAAGCAGCAAACCGTCTCCCGGCGGCTCTGCTGCAGATAGTTATATCCTCATGTGTAACGTGCCTGCCCTACTGGCAAGCACCTTAGTAAATGATCAACTCACCGCTGTGAACCTGCCAACTTGCTATAACAACTCTGCTTTAAAAGAAGTGTTTGTGATCAGGCTTTCTCTTTGTCATCGTATGTGCATGCAGTATGATCAGTTGAACAATAACCATCAATAAAGTTTCACAAGATTTGAAAACAAAGTTTCTGTAGCATTTATATCTAAGAATGAGAAAGAAATTATCTTGAAAATTGAAACAGAGAGAGAAAGAGACTATATTAATCGATGAAAAAATGGGGCAGTAACATATATTTATACTGGTGAGGGAATGAACTGAAATTTATCGAGTTCGATCCCCACGTTTATTATATAAGATATACAAAACAAGCCTCCTATTAAAATGAGAGAAAAAAAAAGGTAAATTTTGTTTAAACACCACGATAAAAGCAACTTGAGAGATGTCTACCAAATGTTAGGCTTCCAATTCAAAGTGTGGATGATGCATCTTTTTTGGAATTGCACACACAAAATGTCTAACGTGGAGAATACCAGAATTTATTTGCAATTTTAATTTCCCTGAGATGGTTTTACAGCTCCCACTCTCCAAATGATTATATGGCGTTTTAGTCTATTAAAATTATCTTGAAAGGTTGAGGGTGCAGCCCATATTAGAAAATATTTTGTTTATGAAGCTCCTACAGTACTCCTAGTAGTCATTTTAAAATGTATGTCTGAAATAGTTATGTAAGAAAAGCATTTGAAATTTTTTTACAATATATATTGGGAATGTTTTCACTTATATAAATAACTACTGATAATATGACTTATGAAAAAAATTATTACTACCATATGTGGAATATAGTGACTTCTAAACAGATTTAAAACAAAAACCCCTACCAACCCAGAAAAATGTGTATATCTGTCTTTAGAAATTAGTGTTTATATCACAACCGTGATTTGTGAATAAAGAAAAATGGTTTGTAATATCAAAATAAAAGCTTAGTCTGAAAAGGTAAAAATACTTTGGTGTTCAAAGTCATTTTGCTTCTCCTTCCCCCCGTGTTGGTCCCAGAGCTGTACCCGCGGTCGCGGCGTCGATGCCGCACACGATGTGCTCCCGAACAGATGTGCCATTGCTGAGGGTCCTGGTGTCATTCCCAGCTGGCAGCAGTGCCAGGGAGCCCACGGGGCTGGTTCCTGCCCAGTGTGCCAGTCCTTGCTCCTGGGGCGTGCAGGGTTTGCTGTCTGTGTGTCTGTCTGTGCGTGTGTGTGTGCGGGTGGCACAGGGCAACAACCCTGTCAGCAGGGTCAGGCCTGGCTGCAGTGCCAGAGGACAGAGTGCTAAGATCCACCACGGGGCTGGGTTGAAGGTTTGCTTCCAAAAAATTGCAAGGTTACACCAGTGTCAGTTGGATTGTTCAGGCAACACTGCATGCTACGTGAGGAAGAATTGGGTTTTGTTCATAGGAAGAAAAAAAGGCATCTTCCAAACTTCCAAATTCCAGTTAGGCTCCCATTTAGCTATTGCTTTCATGGATGGCTTCTACTTCCTTGCAGGGAAGAAAGCAAAGATAGCTGCTCGAGAAGGCTCCTCCTGCTCACTCCCAGGTTTGCTGCCCAAGCCACAGGAAAGATGTTAAGTGCTGTAGGTCTAGACTTGCCTATCACCCCAACACATGATGAGGCTGAGGAGTTTAACATGCCTGAGCCATGTCACACACATGCCAACAGAATCATGGGACTCTTCTACCTGGAGTCCTGCTCTACTGTAATTTAGCAAAGGAAGAGAAGACAGAAAGATAAGGGATTCAATATTGCTTGTTTAGTAGTTTAGTGGCAAGTTTCATTTGAGCAAGTGCTTACATCCTTCTGGGAGGCTGAAGAGAAGAAACCCTGATGTTTGCCAGGAATGGTGGGGAGGTATTATGCTATGCTTGATTGATATCTTTATAGGAAATATAAGCACTCAATGTCCTCCTTGTCAATAAGTGCTCTCCTGCATGCCATGCATGATGGATATATTGGCAGTGCTTCCTCCTGTGGCTGGATGAAATGATCTAAGTAGTAATACTGATAAGGTTTGGATCAAAGGCAGGTGAGCAGCATGTGAACAGGTAAATAAAAGTGGGAGACACAGACACACACAAAGACCGTGAAATGCCTTGTAATTTTCACTTGGTTGGATTCATCTGCTGCTGTCTGGTCCCAGTATTTATGACTTAATGCAGCAGTGCTTCCTTTCTTAGCCAAGTAGCCAACACATGCTAAATTAATAACAACTTTGCATTTATTGAACAATTGGCCAGAGAATAAGCAAAGCATCATGTGTAACCTGAAGGCAAAAGAAAGAGACAGAAAGCTTTTCAGGGTAAATTTTTTTTTCCAATATTTAAAGTTCTAATACAGCTTAAATTGTCTAGCAAACATTAAATTGAATCTTCATAGAAAAATCTTAGAACTGTCCCTGTATATTGTGTCCTGTACCACTCTGTCCTCGGTCAGCTTTAAGGGCATCCACGTTGCTTATTAGCTTCCAGTTTGGATAGAATTTTAAGGTGGTTATTTTTTTTTTAACTAGAATTTAATTTTCTTTAACTTTCTGGGAACCTTGTCTTCGGTCTCACTCGCTGTCATGCTGTATTGCTGTTTCTTCCCTCAAGTGATTTTTTTTTTGCAAGTTTGACATATTCTTTTTACCACATTTTTTCAGTTTTACAGTACAGATGCGTGAGGAAAAAAGGCTGTGCAAATCATTTCCTCCCTAAAGTAGAGCTGAAATATCATCGTTTTGGTAGGTGGAGGGGAAAGAAGAAAAAAAAAAGAAGAAAAGGAGAATAAAAAAAAAAAGCAACTTTGTTTCAGTGGGAAGAGGAGATTTGAGTGGGAGGTGAGATCAGAAGGGAGACAATGATTTTGGGAGATCTTTGAAGAATTTATGAAAGTGTCATCAAAAACAGTCACTTTACCAGTATTATAAAAGTTTATCTTGATGCTTCATTTATACCTAAAGGGCATATGCTTCACCTCTCTCTATAACATGAGCTTTATACCAAGTCTTTCCAGACTTTCCAGGCAGCTTTCATGCCTCTCCAGCACTTCTCTAGTGCTCTGCATACCAGTAATTGTCTTGCAGCTCTTCACAAAAAGCACAATGGACACTGATTAGGATCAGAAAAAGATATGGGTAGTATATGTCAGTATAGCATCAACTTGAACCTTTTCTCTTCATGAGGTAAGACCAAGATGAACGTGAGGAGGAAAAATATTAAAAGTACTTCTGGATCCAAGTGCTAGTCCTTATTTTCTTACTTGGAAAAGAAAGGTTTTCATTTTGTGATGGTTTGTAGTTAACTCTGTGAGTACATTTTCTGTATCCACATGAACAAATCCTGAACCTGATGAAATGGCAGAGTAATTGTAATAGTAATGGGACTACCCTGCTATAGCTGGGCTGGGATACAGCTCCTCCCTGGCAGCAAAGCCATGAAACACAGATTATTTGTGAAAAGCAAATGCCCTGAATGATATCCATGAATGAACCTGGAAGCATCAATGTCATTCTAGGTGTCCAAGCAGGCAGCATTGAGGGCCAGGAGCTCCTGTTTAGCTCTCTACTGTAGATGCTACCAAACTCTTCAGCTTCCTCCATAACGTCCTGCCAGGGCACTCAAGGTAGGTGACCTTGGTTTATGTACCTGGTTAGGTAGGGGTACAAAGAATGAGTTTTGGGTGGAAGGTGCAGGTGATTTCCATGCTCACTGAAATCATGTTCAAAGCACCCACAAATATATGTGGGAGCTTTTTTTAAAAAAGTATTCCCTTGCCTCAATACAGGAATTTCTTTTCTGTATGTAGCTGCCATGTGTGTATTGGGGTAGGTTGTCCTCAGTTCTTCTGTTAAAGACCTTCCATTTTACTTAATTACTCATAGAGAAACACTTCTACAATAGCCTGTTGATTGGGACTAGGCTCTGGATTCCACTGGAAAAGTCTTCCACTATCCTATTGCTTGCTTGGAGGGGATCAGGTGACAGTGCAGTGTCCATTCTCTTTCCCACGAGACAGGTTGGCTCCTTGTAGTTCCTGATTCCAAAAGAGATTTACAGGTGAAAATCCAACCTGGAGAAAAGCTTGTTGTTGAAGGTACTTCAGAGCTCTCCAGCTTGGGGCTTATCCCTGTTTGTGGGTGGGTTGGGTTTGCTCTCTGTTAACTTGGGCAGACTGTGCCTGGCCAAGTTAATGATTCCATTTTTTAGCTAAAGACCTCTAAGTCAGGAGTTCAGCGCATAGGAAAACTGCTAAATAAAACATAAATGAATGCAAAAAGAATCATTTAATGGACATTATGAAAGAACAGTAAACCAAACAGTTCAGTCCAATGGATGATGTATAACATCTAAACAAATATGACAACTAATTAAGGATTAGTTGCTGCGTTTTGGATGACAGGCCTGATAAAAATGAACAGCTAGGTTATGTTGGGGGGAAAAAAAAAGCTGTATTTTGCAAATGTCAGGCAGACAGCTCAGTAAGCAGAAAAGCTCAGTTATCCAATTAAAATAAATGTGCAGTGTTCTCAATATAAAGAGCTAAAGCATCCTTATGTTGAGGAGTTAAGATCCTGAAATATAAGTGGAACAAAAACTGCTCTCTATAAAGATTAATGTAATCTATCAAGATTAACATTTTGCATGCTGGCAAAGGCAGATAGTAATGTGTTTCAATCCTGAAATTGGAAACATTAGACTATGATCAGTACCAATTTAAACCCCAAGTAACCCCAAATATTGAATTGAATTCATTATTTACAACCACAATGGGCTAATAAACTTGCCCTGATGGCTTCTGTGGGAAATAGATATCTACAGTAGGTGCTATCGTATTTCCCATAATCCTTTCTGGTATGTCATATAAAATGTAATTACAAGTTGCATAAATGTAATTTAGGAAAAAGTCTTCCACTAGAAGTAGTTTGGATTTATTCAGGAGTTTGATTCCTGTCCTCAGAAAGATTAAGGATGGTCTGTACATTGTCATGAGAGAGGCCACAAAGTTTCAAGCCCACCAATGGGGGACATAGTTAAACCTCATTTTTTGTTGTTGTTGCTTCCTAGCAAAAGGAGCTTTATTGCATAATAATGGAAAACGAGCAGTGGGAAGGGATCACAGTAACAATTAAACTAAAAACTAGGTTGCAC